TTGATGTTGGTGTCGCTAGCGTACGGCGATTTCGCCTGTCACGCGAAAAAGGCCGCCATGTCCTCTCTCAGGTTTCTCTCTGGTAAAACTATCAGCCTTGACAATAGAAAACAGTAGTATTTTTTTATTTTCCTTCATTTATAGAAGTAAAAAACTACTAGAATTCCTACGTACTACTGCCTATGTAATTGTCCTTCAATCGCCTATTCCAAAACTACTAGAGATAGTAGGATTCCTACTGATTTGGCAACCCTGCGCGTGTCTCGTACTGCGCGCCTACTTGGCGCGAGACACTACCGTGTCTCTTGATGTAATATTTTAAGAATTTAATAGACAAATGACTGAAATAATACAGAGGTTCATGGTACAAAGGTAGATTTATTTTCTCACAGGTATGCACGAGTGTACATGCGTTTTAACAAAGGTGCATACACGTATATGTACAAGCTACACGCTAATCTTGTTAAACACGCAAAAGGCGCATGTTCACAACGCCAAAAAATTCGCAATTACATTTGCGAACAAGAATAAATTCATAGAATGAATGCTTTTAACAGTCAATTATATATATATATAATTGTTTCTGTCTGAGAGATTAAATCTTAAACTTCAACAATTGGAGAAAGAGTGTAATAAGTGATATTAATACTTTATCTGCCATGAAGACCGAAATGAAATAGTGCAAAAAAATGTTCCTTTTTTAGAAAAATCAAATATAAAATATCTATAAATTAAAGAATACTCGAGTAATTAAGAATTTTGTGCAATTAAAGCATTCCAAAAATAAATATTTTGCAAATATCGAGATCATATAAAGATCTAATATTTCAATGAGATCGAAAGACTAGATGTTAAAAGAAAATTCTGAAACAAAAATGATATCGAGAGAACTAAGAAAATACAAAAAACATTATTTTCGATGGCACGTATGGCAGACAACGAGTTACCTTAACTTCGATCACACGAGGTACAGGCAAAGTAGTAACAGGATAACATTGGTTTTCCTCACTTGGCCTGAGAAGAGTACTGCTTTGTAATCGATGATTTAAAAGTTCAAATTTGGCATTCATAATAGTACATTAAGATTAAAAGATTAAATTTGGAAATATTAAAGAGCTAGGGCAGACACGCCCTTAAAGAGTCAATCGAATAATATACATTATTAAAGATTTTCCAAGATTCAAACACTTCGCAACACTATGCAAATATCACATAGCGAATTCGATTGGACGCATTCAGTGTTCACTAGTGCATATTAAAGTACACAAATTGCAATAATAATGTATGCTTAATATAAATAAAGTCAGTTAAACCGTGAAATTCTCAATACACTTTATCGTGCTGCTAGATAAAATATTTTCATTATAATTCGAAATATTTGCATTTCACTTTTTTACAGTCATATACATACATTTAAACAACGTACAACAATTTTAATAAGCACCAGTGTGCACTAGTACGTCCAACTGAATTTGTTAATAGTAATTTTCTAACAATATACGAGTCAACAGAAAAATTTCTAGAAAGAAGAAAGACGCACATCTCTTCTGTAAAATCATTTTAAAAATTCGAAAATCGATTTAAAATCGATAGTCAAATTCAATTAAATTACAAATATCTTTTCTGTTTTTGCAAATTAAATCTTTATCAATTACTTTTAATTCATCTATTGTAGAAAATTGAATATCTGAACGAACTAATGATTTATTTTTCTCGACATAATGAATAATTTAATAATTTTGTATATAACATAATAGTAGGGGAGGCCGAGAGGCTAAATGTGGATTTACTCAAGCGTCGTGGGGATCTATTGGATTGTGAAGATTAGATGCTAAAAAGAAAAAAAGGTTATATGATGTATGCCGTTTCAGTGGTGGGGGGGCGTGTACAGGCTTTACGGCGTGTACAGGCGTGTACAGTACTCGAGCGTGTCAGATATTAATAGTGTAAGCGACCCATGTGTTTCTGATAACGGATAAATATTAATCTGATAGTTTGCGTGGTGGGGTTAGCTGTAGGAAGGGATCAAAAAATCCATATCACGTTTTTTTTGCAACTTTGTGACTCTCCCATTTCCTTACGTCACGCTGAAATCGTCAGATTATTGAAATGTACACTTTTCTACATGTAATTAACACACCATACCTTAATCTGACGCGCTCGAGTTAAATACTAATTTGACGGGCTCCCCTGGACCCCCGGCTCTATATAGAGGTTTAATATGTGGTGGGGGTACTTATTAGGGTGCAAGCTTTCCCCCTTTATGTTATTCTGACGCGCTCGAGTAAATCCCAAAATCCCCGCTTGGCCTCCCCTACTATAATAACATGAGATATTTTTAAATATAATTTCAACATTTTTAAAAAAAATTCTTTAAGCTATTTCTCTCTGTGAAGCTTCGAGAAAATTTGAAGACAACTTAAATCGTTGATTTTTTCAGATTTTCAATTGTTGAACGACGTATCGAAAGTTGTTGTATTTGAAAGACTGGGTAGGTGTGTAACGAGGTACATACATATTTACAAAAGACACGTGCGAAATGGTTCTCCAGGGCCTTTTCTTAAAAATACGTCTCGAGCAATGACATTTCGGTTGGTCGCATTTGATTTTCTCTTCTCGCAAATGTCGAATTATTGTACTTTGTATTACACTTATAAATTATAGGCTGACGATTCGTAAACAGATTTAATTAGATAGTTTTTTTTTTAAGAAAATTCTTTTTAATGCTTTCAATCAACTTTTCTTTGTCATACGTATAAGTATTAAATCATTGAAAATTTACGTATTTCTCTCATCTACAAAACCAAAAGCAGAATAGATCGATAGACAGGTTCATGATATTTCATAATCATTGCTCAAAGCGTATTTGATAATCTGATACCGAAATTTCCGATAGAACGTTAAATTCTCATAATACGGTGTCCAGAGTATCGAGACTTCGTAACAATTGCTCGTCCTTGGAGCACCACTGCACCAGCTCTTCGATGGTCACTACACCGTCCTTATTCGCGTCCATCAACTAAAAATATGCATAAAATATTATTCGTATTATTCAATTATTAATAATAATTAACTACACGAGTCATAATACCATACAATTATCATCCATCTTATTAAAAAATAAAATTAAAAAATGTAATACATTATATGAGAAATATTTAAAAGAAATATTACAATTTTTTAGAATAATTAATGAATTCTAATATTATTGACTATGTTCTGAAAGATCGCAAAATGTTTACAATTTACAAATTTTATTTTGTTATTAATTATCTTCATTCATAAGTGGTTAGCTTCAGTTCTGTTTTAGCTAATTAGGGGTATCGTGTTACTCACATGGAAGATACGATCGACGTGTTCGCGAGCGGCCACGTGCGGCTCAAGGATTTGCGGTTGCGTGTAACGACCCAACATCTCGTAAATGGAGCCCACAACATCCAGCATTTCCTCTTTGCTTATCAAGCCATCGCCATCCAGATCGTACAGACCAAATACCCATTGCAACTTCTCCTCCACCGATCCTCTTGACACCTTCGACAATATAGTGAGGAATTCCTATTTAAAAAGAAAAATTTATAACTCAGACTAAACCTATAATTTTCCTGTAAAACTTGAATAGAATCGTCTAATCAGTAAATATAAAGCAGAGTTCAAAATCACGGAGAATATTTCCGTGTTCTTTTCAGAACATTTTATTTGCGACGTCGCTCACCTCAAAGCTTATCTTGCCGGACGGTTTCCTCTTCATGGTGTTGAAGACATAATGAGCGTATTGACTTGCGTCTACAACACGTGATCAAAAAGGGACGGTAATGATAACTTACAGAGATTTATATATGATTTCTTCGTGTAACACAAGATAGACTTATTTGCCTAATAAAAAATATAAAGCTTTCAGAATTTAGAAAATTCTTATTCTTATAAAAAAAACTGTATATAAATTAATATTTATTTTTTCATTTTAATTCGGTTAACATAAAACCAGAAAATTTCGAGAATCAACAAAATCTGATGTAAACGAAATGTAAGAAAGAAGCTGAGACAGAATATCATCCAAAAATTTCGTTTTTACAATAAGAACAAAAATAATTATTTTATTTATTTACAATTAAAAATTCACAAAGATAGAAAAAGACGTTTGTATTTATCGTTCAACAGATCGGTCGGAATCATCATTATCATCATTGTTGTTATCATCATCATCCCTTCATTACCTCCCTGCGGAAAAAATTGCGAGAAGATCTGTTTGAAGGCATCTTCGTCGACCAGACCGGTCGGGCATTCCTGTTTGAAACCTCGGTAGATCAGCTGGATTTCCTTCCGCGAAAACCTGGTGGTGGCCGCGAGAGTGGCGAGCTCCTCCGGCTTGTGTCGGCCGCTAAGAGCGAGCGCGGCGCCCCCGGAGCTCCCTAAAACGCCCCCGAGTCCTTCAAGCTCTCCTTCTGCAAGTTCGCAAGCCCTTCACTCCTAAGACTGCGTCGCGCCTTCGAGATGCTCCCTCTCGCGCCTCCCTCCTCTTGTCGTAGAGCGCGGGAGAGTGAAAACCTTCGCTCGAAGAGTTCCAGCAATCTCCCGTCGCCCGTGATTATCGAGAAGGGAGGTCTCCAAATCAATTTTTTTCTACTTGAAAAAGATAGATATGAAAGGGTCCTTTTCTTGCTTTACTTTTTTCTACTTTTGAGGGAATCGTCGTAATTGTAGATCCCTGAAGAAGGGATACGCTCTACTCTAGAAGGGACCTACACAGTGCGTAAAGACTTGCAGACGGAGAAGTCGTGAGAGGCGAGAAACAACAGGGGTGAAAAAATATGGAGATAATTTGCGCTACACAAGGTCGCTCGGTTTTGTTATAATTACGAATTTATAAACTATATATGTTTTTTATATCAAAAGTTAAAAATTTTGTAAAATAGAATCCAAATTTTAAAAAATTAAAAAAGATGTCAGTTATATATATTTTCATATATATAATTCATTAATTAATAATTATTTTTAACGAACGTCTTTGTCTCTATAGTGCAAATCATTCAAGAAGATAATTGAGGAAGATCGAAAAAGAGCTCGAAGAAGACATTGCGAGAATACATTTTTCATATTCTGAGAGTGAAAGGATAACCATGGATTCTACTGTGCTGGGTGAAATTGTTTTGTTCCATAAAAAGATTCGATCAAAGATACTTCTTGTAGTAAATGCAATTAATTGTATGTGCTTGTTTCTTCAATTGCTTTGAAAGAGAAAAGATATATTTTATATCTTTCCTTTTATATCTATATATTTTATAAAAGGAAATGATTCAACAGTTTCTTGTAAACAGAAGTACAAACTATAAAATAATAACATAATTTTCAATTTTTTAAAATATTTTCATTAACATAGTATTTATTAATAAGTCAATTAACTGTAGGAATTAAATACTATATTACTAGTTAATCAAATAATGATAGAAATTCGCTATTAGAAAGCGCTTAATATTAATCCTAAAGAGAGCTACTCATTATTTAAGCAATCGATGATAATTTAACACAATATAATACATGGAAAGAATCTAAAGATCTAAGAGCAAAAATAATCTAAAAATTCAAAAAGAGGTCTAAAGATGCAGGGGTTGAAAAGTTTGAGCATTCAAGTATTTAGAAACACGTTTAAGGACTGTAAAATTTTGAGATCTAAATATTTAAGAGTTTAAAAATTTAAGAATTAAAAAATGAGTAAATATATAGAGGTAGTCTAACAATTTGAATAATCAAATTCAAGCAAGAATCAGGGATGTACGTAAAAATTTTCATTGCAAATTTATGTCGTCTACAACTTACTGATGATAACATGTCAAAGATCACTTTCTAAAGAATTGCGACGTTTTGTCCATCCCCTACGCATGCTATGACTATTAGCTCTGGTCCCGGGTATCCGGGGTTGCCATAGTAACGATGCAGCTCCTATCCCTTACTTCCTGACCACCCCCTCCTTATGTGAATATTACGCGAGTATTCGTCAAGAAATGCGGAGGGATCTTCAAGATAAATTTTTCGCAATGTAGAAATTTTTTATTTATAAGAGGGGGGAGGGGGATTAATCAAGTAGCATTATATATATATATATTTATGTGAATATAAATAAATAAAAAAATTATGGAAAAAGCTTTCTTTTTAATATTTTTTCAGACTAATTTGTTTCATATAAGGTGCTAGAACTAATTTTGCCTTTTACTAATATGAAATATTATATTGCAAGAAAATACAAGAAAATTTAGGAATCTATAAATATATATGTATAAATCTAGAGGATCCTATAAGATTAAAAAAAAGATTAATCCTTAAAAATTCTAGACTCTATAATTAAAAAATAAAAGCTAAGATTTAAATGTAAAACAAGTTCTACGTTTATAGAAAATATTGTATCAAATAGACAGTTAATTAGAGAGATTAGAAAATAAGAATTCAAGAACCTCAAAAAAGCTATAAGAATTCAGAGGTCCAAGAATTGCATAAAATCTTTAAGACTTAATAAAAGGTTTAAAAATTTGAAAGTTTCAATTCTGAAATCTTACAGTGCAACATCGCCGTGGAGAAATAGATGCACATTGAATCGAGTGAGATGAAGGAGGAAGGCTTCGTAAATATCAAAAGATGGGTATTTAAACGAGACCAAAAGAATCGGAGAATCGATAAGCGAGACCTGGAAAATCAAAGAGTGTTATCCAAAAATATCATCTCCCAAGATATATCCAAAGGCTTGAACCAAGGCTCGAACCCGACACGGACATGACCTTTGACACATTAATAGTCCTGGTGGTGCGATAAGGGGTTAGACTCCGACCTACGCAAGAACTACCATTCATAGAGCACGGGATTACTACATACAAACGGACAAGGTAGACAAACAAATAGATAACAGGCGATTTCCACAGAGATGGGAAAGGTGTGAGAGAAGAAGAGAAGAGAGGACCCGAGCGCTGATCATCGCACCTTGCTGCATTCGGCAGTTATCACCCCCGGCTGTCGCTCTGCTTGTCAACGACGCTCTCCGCTGAGTAGTCGATCGACTGGTCCAAGTATCAATGGCAATGGCACATATATTGAACGGTGTCGCACGGACACGGGGCGAGGAAGCAGGAGGAAGAGCTCGATCGCGGAGCAGCCTTTCTTTCTTTCTTTCGCTTTACGGTCGTTCTCGCCTTCCGGACTTACGTTTGTCGCGGCTCTTACGCGCCTTCATCGGCCAGCAAGCGCGCAGACTTCCTGCTCGACCTGCCCCTGATATATCGGCGGCGGGACGAGATTATTGGGATTACTCGATTCACCACCACTAATCGACGCGACGCATCCCGAGATACGCTCCGAACGAGGAGCTCCGCACGCGCACGGAGCGGTATGAGAAAAGGAGAGAAAGATAGAGCAAGAGATACAGCAAAAAGCTGGACTGCCAGTTGCGGATGCTGCACACGGGATACGTCGCTCTGGCTGCTGCGGCTGCTGTCCGTCCTTCGCGATGCTGGACGGTGGCTGCGGATGACGTTACACTGCGCCGATGGTGCCACACTGAACCACCGCGGGGGGTCTGTAGGAAAACGTGCCACACGTCGCTTTTAACGCGCAAGTGCGACGATCTTCGACAGCCGGTGGTAGAAACGGCTCAATGAAAACCTTAGACAAAAAGTTTCAAATCGCTACTTCGAATGAACTGTCACTGAAAAGTCAAAAATTTTTTTTCTTAAAAGTCTCCCCCAAATATCTGGAAAGATTTATATCCAAGGAAATAAAAATTTTTTAATTGTTTCTGTAAATAATTAAGAACTAAGTGTTTGATGTATTAAACAAAAAATATTAAAATAAACTTTCTAATGCTTATTACAAATAGAATAAATTCTACTAATTCGATTAAAAAGAATTTAAATTTTCGAGCTTTTTTTATAATTGGAAGAATTAAGTCTATCTAGCTAAAAATTAACAAAATTTTATTTAAATTTGTATATCTTATTAATTAGAATTTAAAAAAAAAGTAAAAAAATAAAAAAAGAAATAAAACTACAGGATCTACAGTATATAATCGATCATTGGAGACCTCCAAGTTCTAAATAAAAATTTAAATTTAAAAAAATTAAGGAAGTTTTTGAATCTTTGAAAAGCTATCTCGAAGGCCTCGAAAACCCCAAAGCTCTTAAGAAACGGTAAAGATTGTACTGTATCACGAAACAGAATTGACAGCCCGTCTCTTACCAGCTGCTTCACTTAAATTTCGGCTCATGAGCATATCCTTCCAATAATACAATTCTATTATTGAATCTGCTCGTGAGATGTCATCTCGTAAGACGTAGCTGACAAATCAGACCACTTTAATCGTTAGCTGTTTCAATTTAAGAATAATTTGTCCGCTAATGTTCTACAAACGATGTAATTATAAAAGATAATACTAACGTATTCGGCTGATAAAGTCAAGTTATCAAGCGCAACTGAAACGTTTATAGGCTCGTTCTTTTAAGCTAAATTTATATCGTTCAGAAAAAAAGAGAAAAAATAAACCGTGTAGTTCAGCTCTAAAAAGAACAGACCTATTGTATCAAACGCAAATAATAATTTAACAAAAGTTTCTATTTCCATTTTTTAATAAATCTTAGCTTCTTAATATGTATACTTATTTCAAAAATTCTTTCAAGAGAGTTCAATATTTTTCTCAAAATATTTATCCTCTCGTAGGATAATACTTAAAAGAATGTGATCATTCGCTTTCTATTCAAATAGCCATATATCGATTCTGTACGAAGGTACATCGATGAGCTAAAGTGGATCAATTCCCCATTGGATTTCGCAAAAATAGCGAACGTTAATTAATTTATAGCGTTCTTATACTTATTTACGTCAAAGCGCCGAACGTCGATATCGCCTGAAAATTGTAATCGAGGCACTTGGAAGCTGCGATTATAAAATTGCAAATAAAAGATCTGTAACAAGTATCCATAGGCGTTTCCAGTGGGGAGGAGATAATTCAAACTTCCACCCGAAACTTTTAATTCATTTTTCTATTTTTAATTATAAAATATAACTTTATTTTTGACTCTAAAAAAATTTTTTGTCGTTACATAAAATATTCTTTTCTCCCTGTTATAACTATATAAATAATTTCTCGAACTTGCAGTAGTTAAAATTTTGACACTGTTTGATGTACATAAGAAAAATTTCGCAAGGTTTTTAAGTCGAAAAATAAAATATATGCTGAGATATTAATAACTATGTTTAGCAGAAAAAATTGCTTTGCAATTGTTGTAAGATTCTTTAAAATAATTAATTTTTGCCTTTAATTCTTCACGAATCTAAAAGTATAAACTAATTATGTTAAAGAATCTTACAACAGTTGCAAAATTATTTTTTCTGCTAAAAATGCAGTCATTGAGCAATCAATTCTCAAGTATACATTTTGTTTTAAATAACCATATTTTGTCTATATTTTCTTCAGGAAAAAATATAAATTATAACTTACAAATAATATTTTTCCCATTTAAAATCAAGAATAAGAAGACATTTTATGTCCTAAAAATTCAAAAAAGCAATTGATTAACACAAAAAATCATTTATGCAACAGAATTGATAACCTTCCCCTCAAAAGTCTTGGATACGACCAAGTATCTGAATATCATTTTGAATACTTTACATCGATTACAGTTAATTCTTCCAATTAGAGAAAATTTGAGAGTATGTCTAAATCTTTTAATTAAACGAAGGTTAGCAGCAGTCGGGAGTAAAAAATCAAATTAATGGAGTTATATGTAATATTAACTCTTTTGATCCTTCCTTTTACTTTAAACTTGCACAAACTTTTGCATACGCACGTCTGAATCTTGGTCTCCTGTAAATTTTTTACGAGTTCTCGACGAACTTCTTTCCGCGTAAACAAACTCGCAAGTCGATACGCAAAAGTAGCACACACAAGAATATATTCCAGTCAACCTGCGACGCAATTCAAATACAGTGAGTACAAAAAGTATTCGTACAGAGAAAATATATTTTAAAAAAACTTTATTTTAAAAAATTTTAAATATTATCCAGCGAGAAATGAGTCATTGAATTGATGTCGAATCGATATCGATACGATGATTTCAACACCAATTCGACGTCGATTCGACGTTTAATTGATGATCATTTCTTGCTGGGTAATTAACAATTTATTCATAAAGTATAAAATAGACTGTATGTTTCTTAAAATTATATACACCAAAAAGATGTGTATTAATTATAGAAAATATATCATCTGAAAAATAAAAGTTCCATTGTTTGGATGCTCAAAAAGTATTCGTACAGTCGAGAAATTTAGCTTATAAGATCAGAAATACATACGAAGCTCATTTGTACATATTAGAACAGAATGTATTCATTGTATAAAATTGCTAATTAATGTTTATTTTCTACAAATAAAACTTTTTTTATAAAAAATTTCCTTGTACGAATACTTTTTGCTCTCACTCTACATGTTGCTTTAATTGTTATATTATGTTATGAGGATTCCCTTCTTTCTTCTGGTTTTTTTGTCTGATACAATTCCTGTAATTTCATTTAAAATATTAAATATCCTAAAAGCAAAACCAAAAAGATCTTGTTTAATTATTTCATTCAGCATGTTTTGATATTGCAAATTAATTAAGCGAAATAAATGCAACAAAACCTATTGATCAATATGTGTGATTACAACTAAATAAACTTTTTTTTACATCTAATAATGAATATTTCTCAACAAGAGACACAGATGATTCAATATAATACAATGAATTATGTCTAATCTACAATATGATCTTTGTTTCCTATTACTTGTTTTACCTCTTGTCTTTTAGGCTAATCCTACAATATGCTTTTTGTTTCCTGTTTCTTGCTGTTTGTCTCTTGCTTTCTTGATCAAAAAGACAAGAGACAAACAGAGACAAACAGCAAGAAACAGGAAACAAAAAGCACATTGTAGAATTAGTCTTTACCTCTTATCCTGTTTCTTGATATAACTATACGATGAAAGTGGATAAAGTGAAAAGAAATAAAGTAGGTAAAGAAGAGAAGTAAGAGGGTTTAATCAGAAAGTAGGAAAGTAAAGAGATAGGTGTAATATTATAATTTCATAATATAAAAAAAAATATATATATATATGTATACATGTGTGATAGCATGTGGGCGAGGTATGGAAGAATAAATGAGATAAGGATTTATGTAAACCAAGTCCCCTTCTTGGCTGTACGCTGAAGTGTAATAAATTCTATTCTTCTCTTATCCTGTTTCTCCATTTTCTGTTGTCCAAGATAAAATTGATGAAGACAAGAAACACGTGACAATAAACACAATTGATGATAAAACGGTGAGAACGAGAGAAAAAGGCAAAAAATAAACAAACTAAAAACAGGAAGCAAAGAATACATTTACAGTAGATCAGGTTTTAAAGACTTTGGATGCTTTCCAGCAAGAGACACAAATGATACAGTGTAACACAGTCAAGTATCTTCATCTCTGTTGAACATTGCAAACAATTAAAGATGTAATTTATTGTGTTGCACTGTGTCATCTGTATCTCTTGCTGGAAAGCACCCAGTATAACAAAGTGAATCACAACATCTTTGTTATTTGTAATATTAAATAAACATGAAATAACTCACTGTATTATACTGTCAGTTATTTCACCTTTTCTGATTCATTTGTCTCTTATTGCTAGAAAACATTCAGTCACTATCACGTTCTATGTAACTTCATTGCGATTCGCGAGGTTTTAGATCGAAAGAATCAAACGTTACGACGTGTATATCGCGATATTGAAACATACATACCATCATCACATCTCTGCAGACAGTGAAAATTGCGGATACTTAGCAGAAAAAGAAAACATGTCCAAGTACGGCGATTGTCACTTACAATTAAAACCAGTCTACGTCATTTCTTGTTATTAGATCGCGATTAGAATTGACGTGTTAACTTTTCACTGAGTGACTAAAGGTGCGTTCGGAGAGACTTATTAGTTCTTTTGTTATCCTATTCTTGTTTTACTTATAATAAATGAAGATAGACTGACACAAATAGTACTTAAATTTCTCGAATTGCACCCTGAATTCTGAAAAGGATCCACCAGGCCGACAAATGATAATCAATAAGATCTCGATCTCGCGATTAGGACCAATCGATAAATACCACGCTATCGGATTGGCTTCGACATTACCAGCATATTGTCTCTCTCCTTCTCTACGATTGTATTCGATAATTCTAATCGCGCGTCTCGACTCCCGCTGAGAACGAGACTTTATGCCTTTATGGCGTTTCGCGCTAAAAGTCAGTCGGCTCGAATTCGAAAATCGGATCGGGCGAGCAGACGAAATTCCGCCATACAGATAAAGCAGTAGCAGCAGCAGCATGAACGTCGGCAGTGATATCACGCAGTTGTCCTATAAGGAGCTGCAGGCCCTGGCTCTTAGGTATCGCGTACCGGGTAACATCAAGGTGAGTTGTCACCATCGTCGTCGACAATACCGACATCATCATCGCGACGAAGATGTCCTAACGACCGACTTTTCTTTCTCCGTCTGATCTAATCCATTCTTAACGCGGTTAACGCCGTCATCGG